GTTACGTTACGTTACGTTACGTTACGTTACGTTACGTTACGTTACGTTCGTTACGTTCGTTCGTTCGTTCGTCGTCGTGTAGTAGTAGAGTAGAGAGAGAGAGAGAGAGAGAGAGAGAGAGAGAGAGAGAGTTTTGTAGTTTTAAGACTACTAATGAGGCTTGGTATAGGGTAATTTATTGTGTGATAGTGAAATACTCTGGGTTTGTGCTCTGTGTCACAAAACAGGCATGCGTTTTAACTTCCTCATGCTTTCTCCCGTCATCATTCATGCATCTATTTGGCTTTCCCCCATCCCTTTTATTATGAATTTATTATAGTATTAGTGGTATGGGTTTCTTTAAGTCCAATTTCCATGATCAAACTAAGCACAACTTTTAATTGCTGGTTTGCCTGGGAGAAGATTACCTGTTGACTTATCTACTTCATGCAACTCAAACCACCATAGAAATCAATTCATTTATTAATGATGTATGATATCAATCTCTTGAAGTCTTGTCCCTCATTGACATAGTACAGTTTGAGTGAGATGTGTCAAAATTTTGTTACTGATTATTCTACTCCCAAGGGAAAAATTGTGTTGCTATTTGTAAAACTTCGAGGCGTTTTGGCTGTGTCACTAGTATGTAAATCATTAGGACCTAATTCTAATGCTTAATAAGAACAATTCCTCTTGATCGCTTCAAATCACCTTTCAAATTATTAGAAGCTGGGAATTGTGATGGTATGGCATTTATGGAAGCTTAATTGTAGTCTTCATTTGCACCATGTTTTTTTTTTTAATATGTTCTTCATTTGCACCATGTACTAAAGGCATTGCGCAGATGTGGCTAAATTGGAGGGTCAGCTTGCTGTTGCAAATCGTGCCGTTGCTTTGCAGCAGAAATCTCTTAAGGAGCTAAATGAGGAGGTAAAACTGAAGTTTTATGTATTTTGAATCATTTCACGCATTAAACTCAAATGTCACTTGTGACTTGTCTACATTTATTGATTGGTTCACATATTTGTTAGTCTTGCATGGTTAAATTCAAAGAGCTAAAAGTATAGAAACTTGTTCATTATAATTGCGCCGATGTCATGATTTGTTTTGTATTGACTATTTGTTGTAATAATTGTCATTCCAGGCTTGTATTTACAAATTTGCAAATAGCCAGGGGTTGTTTTAGTGAGAGTTTTGACTGTTCTCTTCTTTTTGTTGCAGTTGTCTGTGACCAAGTTTTGCATTGAGAAATTTGAGGCTGCCGGAGATGCTATTCTTAAAGAGAAAATCAGCATACAACAAGTGCTTCAAAGAAAAATTGAAGTAATGATTTGAAATTCATAATGTCATGTTCTTAAGTTCTAAGAATAATAATGAACACGCAAAGTTGACTGTCTAGCTGTATAGTTTGCTACTTATATGCAAAGCTAGATCTAACAAAGTATGGTGCCATTTTCCTAGTCTCAGCTCTTGTATTAGTTTTCTTTTTGTTTTTCTTGAGACCTTTTTAATTCTTTTGTTTGATTACATCTGCAGGAACTTTCAAAATCGACTTCTGAGTGCTCTAGGTTACAGGAGAGGAGTCTAGCTTTGGTCAAAGAGCTTGTATCATACAAATTGTGAGACTTATCACACTGAATACATCCTTGTTTGTTAGTTTCCTTATTCCTTATGTGCTTTTCTTCTCTTATTTGACATACAGGGTGTCAGATTTGGATTTAGATGAAGAGGACGTATTGAGGCTTGCATTGATCGGCCATGGGTCAAACAGCAATGATATCATTGAAACTCTCAATAGATCTCTTGTTCTTCGCAATAAGTAAGCCCTTAGACCATTGGCAGACTGTATAATCTGTAAGAATTTGCATCTGAATGAGCAATGATATCATAGAAACTCTCAAAAAATCTCGTCCTTTGTAATAATAAGTACGCCTTTAAAAACCACTGGAACTGTAGAATCTGTAGGAATTAGCATCTGATGTTATTATTGTGGTTATTGATCTTGATGTCCATCCTTGAAAGTTTTAGCATCTGATGTTATCATTGTGGTTATTGATCTCGATGTCCATCCTTGGAAGTTTTTGTGGGTGTTTAGCATATATTAAAAGGCGAAAAGGTATAGAAAAATATGGCCATACCAGAAAAGCAAGGTTTGATTATTTGATAACAAGCAGGAACCTGTGCCATAATCTAATGGACTATGGGAAATCCATTGTCAATTGGCAACAATAGACATTCACACTAGGAGTAGCAGTGGGCTCAGCCAGCCCTACCCCTTGTCCCTATAGGGCCAGCCCGAGTGGATTGAGCAGCAGAGGCCCCGGCCCATGCCCTGTTGGGGCTGGGCCAGCCAAATAGAATAGAAGTAAACAAAAGGATAAAAATAAGTACAAAAGGGGCTGGGATGGGCAAAACCTGTCTCAGCCCTGGCCCAAGCTCAGCCCTGCCATATCTTCAGACGGTGCTGGCGCGGCCCTTGGGCCAAATGTTTTGCTCAAAGTCCTAGTTTTTAGGGCCAGGTCTGGCCATTACCAACATATTTTCAAGATGGGTGATGGCATAGAGAGAGAGCCAACATATTTACAAGATGGGTGATGGCACAACGAGAGAGAGAGAGAGAGAGAGAGAGAGAGAGAGAGAGAGAGAGAGAGAGAGAGAGAGACGACGACGACGACGACGACGTACGTACGTACGTACGTAGTACGGTACGTACGTACGTTACGTTTACGTTTACTTTACTTACTAACTTACTACGTAACG